ACCAGAAGATAGGGATATCTGGTATCTTGATACTGGCTATAACAATCATATGACAGGAAATAGAACTTGGTTAGCAAATTTCGATGAGAAGAAGAGGTGCAGTGTGAAGTTTGCTAATATGAGTGCTATAAATGTGGAAGGAATAGGTGATGTGATAATGACTGGGAAGAATGGTAAACAGGTGATACTTGAAGGAGTATTGTATGTTCCAGATATGAGGTGTAATCTCTTGAGTTTGGGACAACTTGTTGAGAAGAAATTTAAGGCAGTTCTGGAACATAATCATGTTGAACTATATAGTTCAGATTATACTCTATTACTTAGGGTTCCATTGTCCAGAAATAGAACCTTCAAAGCATGCATTAAAACTGAGGAAGTGCAGAGTTTGAAAACTACCTTAGTTAGTGATGAGAGCTAGTTATGGCATGCTAGATTTGGTCATCTAAACTTCAGAAGATTGCAACAACTGGATAATAAGAAAATGGTGATTGGCATTCCACACATTAGTATACCTGCAAAAATATGTGGAGAATGTACTGTTGGCAAGCAACACAGAGAGTCCTACAAACATGCTGTTCCTGAAAGATCTTCAGCCTTATTGAATGTGGTGTTTTCAGATGTTTGTGGGCCATTTAACCAAGCTAATTTGGGAGGTAACAAATACTTTGTTACATTTATTGATGATTACAACAAGATGGTGTGGATTTACATGATAAAGTCCAAAAGTGATGTGCTCAGTATATTCATTAAGTTCAAGAGTTTAGTTGAAAAGCAAAGTGGTAATTCAATTAAAATTCTTAGAACTGATGGTGGAGGGGAATATACATCTGTTGAATTTCAAAAGTTCTGTGATAATCATGGTATAATACATGAAATCACAGCTCCCTATACTCCTCAGCATAATGGAGTGGCTGAGAGGAGGAATAAGACTATACCGAATATGGCCAGGTGTATGCTTAGGGAGAAGAATGTGCCCAAGTTTCTGTGGGATGAAGCTGCTAATACAACAGTATACCTGCTAAATAAAAGCCCTACAAAAGATTGGATGGCAAAGTACCTGAGGCTGTTTGGTGTGGAGTGACACCAAGTGTGAAACATCTCAGAATTTTTGGTAGTCTGTGTTACAAACATATACCTGATCAAAAGAGGAAGAAGCTGTATGATAAAGGGGTTCCAATGATTCTTGTTGGATATCATTCAGTGGGTGCTTATAAGTTGTTTGATCCCGTGAATAGGAATTTTGCTTTTAGCAAGGATGTAGTTTTTGATGAAATGCAGGTCTGGGATTGGATAATACCAGATAAAGCTAACACCAGGAAGGTACATGTGGTATCTGAAGATGCTTTGGAACTGAACATTGAGGATCAAGCACAGTTGGTTGACAATAATACTGAAGTCACAACTGCAGCTCATAGATCACAGAGATTAAGACATCCTTCCACTAGACTTTCTGGATATGAGGTGTATGATGATTCAGAGTTAAATGAAGCTGGAGAATTACTGCATTTAGCTTTACAAGTTGAATGTGAAATTCTGGATTGGAAGGATGCATTCACACAAGCAGAGTGGAAAGATGCAATGATTGAAGAGATAAACTCTATAGAAAAGAACTCTACCTAGGAGTTAGTCACTTTACCACCTAATAAGAAGCCTATTAGTGTAAAGTGGGTGTTTAAAACAAAGTTCAGACCAGATGGTTCAGTTTCAAAGTACAAAGCCAGGTTGGTGGCTAGAGGATTTCTTCAGAAGGAAGGTCTTGATTACTTTGAAGTTTTTGCTCATGTGGCTAGAATTGAAACCATAAGGCTAGTAGTGGCCTTGTCATGCAATAAAGGATGGAGTATGGCCCAACTTGATGTGAAATCTGCATTTCTAAATGGGGAGTTAGAGGAAGAGGTGTATGTTTCACAACCACCAGGCTTTGAGAAGTCAAGAGCAGAAGATAAAGTGTTCAGACTGAGGAAGGCATTATATGGGTTGAAACAAGCTCCAGGAGCTTGGAACAAGAAGATCAATTCTTATTTACACATGATTGGTTTCAAAATTTGTGTAAATGAGCATGGTGTATATGTCAGGAGATCAGAACATGATATTTTAGTGTTGTGCTTATATGTTGATGACCTATTGGTGGTAAGCAACTCTCCTGATCAGATTGAAATCTTCAAAGCTCAAATGAAGCAGCAGTTTGACATGACTGACCTAAGACAGTTGGCATACTTCCTAGGGATGGAGTTCTGCTTTGAAGATAGTGGAATCTTTATACATCAAAAGAAATATGTTGCTGATGTATTAAAAAGATTTCAGATGACATCATGCAATCAAGCAAATACTCCCATGGAGCCAAAGTTGAAATTGAGTTTGAGTGCAGAAGAGGAAGAAGTGAATGGCAATCTATTCAGGAGTATAGTTGGTTCATTGAGATTCATTTGCAACACCAGACCTGATATTGCTTTCAGTGTTGGGCTTATCAGTAGGTTTATGCAAACACCTAAGAAATCTCATTACATGGTTGCAAAAAGGGTATTGAGATATCTTAAAGGTACTGCAAATTTTGGAATCTGGTATCCTAAAGAAATGCTATCTGATAGTGAAGGTCTTGTGGGATTCTCAGATTCAGACCGGAAAGGTGACACAGAAGAAAGAAAGAGTACTACAGGATATATGTTTAAACTAAATGGAGCTACAATATCCAAGAGTTCAAGGAAACAACCACATGTTTCGTTATCTACTTATGAGGCTGAGTATGTGGTTGCAACCTATGCAGCATGTCAAGGTGTATGGCTGAGAGCATTGTTGGAAGAAGTTCTTGGGGAAGAGCAGAAACCTTTTCAACTTCTGGTGGATAACAAATCAGCCATAAATCTTGCACTAAATCCAGTGGTTCATGGGAGGAGCAAGCACATAGAACCAAAGTATCAATGGCTAAGGGAGAAAGTCAGAGAAGGGAAACTTGTTCATATATATTGCAGCAGTGAGGAGCAAGTTTCAGATATATTTACGAAAGCTCTTCAACTTGACAAGTTCAGAAAGTTTCGTGGAGAGCTTGGAGTTCAAGCAGTGAATTGTTGATGAAGTTGTGTTTTCATTTTTTTTTGTGGGAGTTTGAATTAAGGGAGGATGTTAAAGTGTAATTCAAATATGTGTGTGCTAGTGATATTGTGTGTGATGGTGTATTAAATAATGTGCACGTGACTACTCTTATAAATAGAATAGTACACGTATGGTGTTGGTGTGTGCAGACTTTGATCATCAATAATAAACTCCCTCTTTCCTCTCTAACTGCAAGTTAGTTACTATTCTAACTGTTTTGCGCCATCATTTACTTTATTGATTATAAAAATAAAGGTTAGCTATATATAAATAAAAGTGATGATCTTATAATTTCTTAGCTCAAAATTGAAAATCATCCTGAAAAATAATTGTACAAATATTAATTACAAGATTTTTTATATTTTAAAAACTACGAGGAATGTATGACACACTTATTAATGAATATATTTTCGTAATATTAAAATTCACATAATAATACATCAAGTCACATTAGATCGAGAAAGAGAATGACGATACCAAACTAAAACAGACCATAACATATTACATCGGACACGATCCGAGAAGGTCATGCAAGGCATATACATCATGATAATAAATTACACATGCACAATATCAAACAAGACTGAACAATTTAGAATAGACCGCTAATTTCTTTTATCCAAGTGAAATTTTCATAACAATAATACAATATTATATTATGTAATACTAATATGGTTTAGTCCGATCTAATTTAAATTATACGGAGTATAATGTTGTAGTATGTTTACTTCAACCAAATATGACTGTATGATAAGGTCTGAAACATAAAAGTCTGAACGTAATAAAGGCTAATTGTTAAATTTAAATTTTAGTTAATATTTAGGAAAGTTAGAATCTACTTTGAATCTAATTCTTGGGTGAAATTGGAATTTAGAACCTATTAAAAGAAACTTAACGCTTGTACCCTGCTAGATTAAAAACTAATGTTTGCACCCTCTTCCCTCACCAAATTTGAACAAATGGATGCATATATTATTTTTCCAAAAATGTGGTGTAAAGTTAAATTTCATTCATAATATGATGTAAAATCAAAATTTCTCTTTAAAGATCATACTTGTAGTAGTTACTAGTTACTAGTTAGAGATATTGTCGTTTTTAGCCACCCGACTATTATGTCCTTGACATTTTTGACACTTAACTTTGAGATTTTTTATTTATCGTGGGTTGACTTTTGTGACACATACATTTTTTATATTTATCTTTTAATCTTTTATACTCTCTATTTATTTTTGTGACTTTAATAAAAGATACACATTCTGTCATTCTACATTTCTAATATGAGTCTATTACTTTGCAATAAGAAGTGAAAGACAAAAAATATCACTACAATAATAGTTGAAAGATTCAAAATGTCACTTTTCAATAGCCAAATAATTAGATGTGAAAAATTCAAAGTTAATAAAAAATATCTTTGCTGCATATCGGAAGGATTAGAAACAACTCCAAATCAATATAAAAGCAATTTGGATAACCTAAAGCTACAATGAGATGAGACACAAAACTGAAAAATTCTTAATTATTAATGAATAAAATAGCAGTACAAATGTAATTTGGAAAACCTTAAACTACAATAGGATAATATAAAGAACTAAAAAATTATAAAAGAACATGGAAATTTCATAACCCTCCAGAAATAATAATTGAAGGACTAAAAGTGATAAAAATCTAGAATTTCCAAGTTCTGACAAAAATGTGGGTGTACATCCTATTTTTGACATTTTTTAAATATAGGGTGCAAACTTTAGTTATTCACAAAATGAGGTGCAATAGGTGATTATAGAAGTGTTTGAAACGTGAATTACCGGGGGGGACTTGGGTGATTGGATAAAACGTAGAGGCCGTTTCGTAATTTCATTATTTTTGGGTCGGTATAAATTGATGAATCATGGTTTCGTAGGTTATTTTGTTTTTTCGTTTGTTAGCACCTAAACATGACTCCAGAGATTTATAGTTACAAAAAATTGAAAATCTGAAACAAATACTGTAACGGTCCTCTTCGCGCCATCTTTTTGCTGATATGGCGACTCAGGTGGACAGTCAAGCACCCGCCGGAGGTGGCGGAGGCGTCTCAGCCTCTGTTTTATTCCCTTCCCCAGTCGCCCACGACCAGGACCAAATCGAGAGCACTAAGACCTTGATTTGTGCCCTCAATTTACTGTCTCGCAATCTCCCCCTCCCTCAAGACGTTTTTGATGCTGTTTCCTCCATCTTTCTCGCCGGGGAGGATGAAGCCGTTGAAGATTGCTCTGTCGGTGAGGGTGAAAACGCCATGGAGAATGGGTCCAGCCAAGTAAGTTCCCTTTTATTTGCAGATTTTCTCTGCTTTTACAGGATTTGGATTTTAATCGTGTTAGATTTCTTGATAGGTTTCTTTATTTATGTAGACTATGTATATATGTTTATTTTAATACTTAAGCTGAGGGGACACATTTGTCTATATCCCGTACAAAATTGCAGAGAAAAAATGTTCTAGAGGGAGATCAGGATGAACTACAGTCAATTGGTTGTAAATTTTTTAAAGAAAATTGTTTCTTCACTAAAAATGGTAAATGTGCACAACGATATTATATGCTGCTTATCCCTACTAATTATGTGCATGGATATTTCCAAAGAAAACTCGATCTGAGATCAAATTAAGTAAAAGTATTGATTTTATTTCTCTCACGAGTTTGTTCCTTTTTTTATATTTAAAAGTGTGTATGCTTTCTAGATTGGTTCTGGCATGGAGACTTATGGAGAACTGATGGCAGATTTTGAGGATTCATTATTGAAAGAAAAATCTAGCTGTACATCAGGTTCTGCATTGAAAAGAACAAAGGAATTCCGTCATGAGAGCCACATGCGTAGTCGCTTGGTTGAACTTGAAGGTAAGTAGCTTGCAAAGATGGTTGCATCAGACTGTTGTTAGTATTCTATAACTAGCTTGGTGTGTCTTCTTCTTCTGTAAAGAACTAAAGATCCCTGATCTACTTGTATAATATACTAAAGGTTTTGCATGAAAACCATATGATTGAAAGTGTGGACCTGCAGTCTAAAGTGTCTTCTTCTCTGTATCAAATGCTCCATTAGTTTCAACTTTATCTATATACAATTATAATTTTACATATCACCAAATCTGCAATGAATTTTCATATATAACCAGATTTGCCAACTAGCAGAGGCGAGGACCTGCAGTCTAAGTGTTTGATCGAACTTTATGGATTAAAGGTAAAGTGGATTTCCTCTGTCTAAGTAAATTATTTCAGCATTCGTTTTTTTAAAATTTGTAACAAACAGTGGGTTTAAATTTGTTATCATATTTAGCAGAACTAGTCATCTTATTTTATTTAGCATAATGGAAATATGCAGTGCTACAAGTCTACAACTACGAACTATCTCTGAAGTTTATTTGGTCTAACCATAATCTAAAGGTTTTAATTTTATATATAAATAATTCAGACGTTTAATTTTACAAATTTCATCTGTATGCTAGGAAGGCAATACACCTCAATAGTGAGGAAATAGGGTTGTTTCGTATTTTAAGTTTTTAACAAGTCAGAATTAACAAGGGCTCTCTTTACCATTTCAATATCTGAGGATATGCCATTATAAAGAAGTGTCTTGTACAATTGGTTGCTATGTTGTTAATAACTCCAAGGATGCCAATAAATGTCACTAGAAATGAAGAATTGGAGCGATTGTTACTTATGAGAAGAGGCTTATATTCAACGCAAGTTTGTATAGACATCTTTGGAGTTTGGACATTTAGGATACAGATACACCTTGAGCTGAATTAACATTAAAGTAAAGGCTGCTCGAGGTAGTTGTGACTCATCTGTGGAAATTATGACCTGTGACATCTAAAAAACAACAATATGTCTATGTCCTACAACCATGATAGACTCCCTACGATATAGATATACTTCCACACCTTTCCTCAAGTTGGAGCATTTGACATTCTCTTTTCAGAGATATATGTATTAATTGGTTAGTTGTGCAACAAATGAAGTAATGAATTAATGATGTCTCCAAAGGTGGTATTTTCTTTTCTAGAGTGAGTCGAGTGACAATCAACTTCAATAATGAAATGTGTTGTGCTGCATGATTACCAGAAACCAACTTCATAGATTTAGGTTTGCAACATACAAGTTCTATAAGGAGATATTTTACTCATATTAGTTCAGATGTCCCAAGTGTGAATCACATCTCATTCAATGCTTTTCCACACTATTAAGTTTTTGCCAAAGTGAGTATAGCATCTTGATGTTGATCACATGTCCTAAGAACATCCAACACAGTATGTTGTTTTCATGATTTTCAAACGGCAAAAAGTTCAAAGACACTTCTTAATAAAATTGAGGATTTTGATGATGACGCTATACTAACTTTTGTTTGTACTGCTTTTTCAGCTCACAGAATTGCAGCGTAAAGTTCGTTCTGAAGTGAGTTCAGAGTACTGGCTTCGTGTGCATTGCTCCAATCCTGACGAGCAGTTATTTGACTGGGGCATGATGCGATTGCGCTGCCCTATGTATGGAATTGGAGATGCTTTTGCTGTTGAATCTGATGATCCCTTGAAGAAGAAACGTGACGCTGAGGTGATATGTTCTGCAAAGCCCATTCATTTATAGTCCATTTAGTTTTAAATGATGCAAAACCATCTAATTATATGTGTGTGCGTGACTGTGTGGTGTATTTATATATTAGCATTATATCTGCATTTTCTTTTACTTATATTTTTAATTGTTGTGAATGGGTATATTTCGGACTCCATTATTGTCGTAAATCTGCAAACTCAATAGTATAATGATGATAATTCAATTGTAGAGAAGTTATTTTCAATAGGAAAGGATATCATATCTATTGTCACGAACAGAACCGCTCCACTTTCCAAGTGTCCATTTCCAACCTTTTTCTCCACATCTTTAGATTATATTCTTTTTTCTGTGTCCCTCTGTGATTCCCAGCTTTCTAATATGGCTGAAATTGCTTCACAGAGGTTATCTAGAATAGAAGAGGAGGCGAGAAATCACGTGGAAACTAAGAAAAGAAAATTCTTTGTGGACATACTTAATGCAGCACGTGAACTCCAACTGCATGTACAAGCAGTTCAAAAGCGTCGAAAACAACGAAATGATGGTATCCAGGTGTTTGCCTGCTTTGCTCTACTACTGTTATGGTCCAGTGTAAGTAAAAAGGTTGTATCGGTAAGATCCAGTGATTGATACCTTAGTCTAACCATTGCAGGCATGGCATGCAAGGCAAAGACAACGGGCTACGCGAGCAGAAAAGTTGAGGTTCCAGGCGCTTAAAGCTGATGATCAAGAAGCATACATGAAAATGGTTGATGAGAGCAAGAATGAGCGGTTGAGATTGCTTTTGCAAAACACCAATGATCTTCTAGGCCGCCTGGGAGCTGCTGTCCAACGGCAAAAAGATGCTGATCATGATGGTATTGAACCTTTAGAAGGTCCAGGTTCTGATATGCAAGAGTTGACTACATCAAAAACTGGTATTCCTGGGCTGTCAGTCCCCGAGGAGAATGAGGATGTTGTTGATAATGAAGCTACTTGTGACACAAAGACAAATGATTTACTCGAAGGACAACGGAAATATAATTCAGCAGTGCATTCAATCCAGGAGAAGGTAAATATTTTGTGCTAGTTTACTTTTGCATGTGGCTTATCACTTCCATATATGGCATCTATGTTTCAGAGTTCATTCATATGGTATAGCAGTCATCATATAGCTTTGGATTCCACAAGATTTCAGTACTATTGATTTTTACTTTCTTGTAGGTCTCTGGTTGATACATTATGCTGTACGCCTGTACCATTGTTTTCATTTTGTTTCCTACCTTCATTTGAGTGGGATGGGATCATATAATGGTTTAATGCATCTCCACTTGCAATAAAGAGTTTTCCATTGTCCATTTACGTTTTTCTAACATCCTTTTCTGTTAAAAAACAGATAACATGTTCAAAATTCGAACATTTTCCGCCACATGGAATTTTTTGAACCTTGACTGCTTTCTATATATAGAAATACCAATGTAAGTAGTAAGTGGCACAATGGTATAGGGCATTGGTAGGCATCTTGTTTAATTGCTTAGTCCATTTCATAGGGAAATTTTCACCCCTTAGGTTGGTGTGCTTAACTAATCTAACCTTGCATTTTGAAAATGAACTAGTTACCCCGTTAACTTTGACTCTGTTAACAACTACCTCTCCCATACATTCTAAACTCATTTTGTGACATGTTTCTTATTATTTTTGTTTAAAGAAAATAATTTTTTAATTCAATTTTCTTGTGTTGTGTGTGTATAATTTGTAACGGCCATTACCATCTTCGTATAATTAAGAAACTCTATCTTGTTGTTTCTCAATGGGTTCTGATATTTTATAGTTTTGTACTGGTTTTTCTGAAGAGGGATTGTGCTTTTACCTGAGGCTAGGATGATAAAAAAACGAACCAATTCAAATCAAGTCGACTATCATTATATTCTATTTCTATTTTATTCGTAAACCAAATATACATTTATATTCTTATATCTTTCCTTTTATTTTCAAGTACAAAATATATTCTTATCCTAAATCAATTCGAATATCAACATTAAAAGTTATATACACTTCTAAAATTATCATACAAAATTTTGTTTATATGTGAAAGGGAACCTTGGCGCTCTGGTTAAGGTGTTGTGTGACTGAGAGCTCACATGTTCAAGTCTTGAGAGCGGTCTTGTCAAAATGACAAGGGAAGTCTTGCCTCTTTTACACCCTTGTGGTGGAACCCTTCCCCGGACCCATCACCTTGTGGGCATGACAATGTGCATCAGGCTGCCCTTTTATGTAAAGATAGAGCTTGCACAAACATTACTTTAACATGCCCTAAAATCATGTCACACAAAAAAAACTGAAACATATTTCTTTTCGAGTGGAGATCCTCTCCATTAACTACGTTATATATTTTTACTAATGGAGATGGGAATATCATTTTGATTATAAATTTTCAGGTAACCGTGCAACCAACCATGCTTCAGGGTGGAGAATTAAGGCCTTACCAAATAGAAGGGCTTCAATGGATGGTGTCTCTGTTCAATAACAATCTAAATGGAATTTTAGCAGATGAAATGGGGCTGGGGAAGACAATTCAAACTATTTCTCTTATTGCACATCTAATAGAAAACAAGAGTGTGACTGGTCCGCACTTGATTGTGGCCCCAAAAGCTGTACTGCCAAATTGGATGAGTGAATTTCAAACATGGGCACCTAGGTATGGATACAATATATTGACTCTGAAATGCTGTACAGTATGGTGTTAACGTGCTCTAAACTTCATTTCTTGCAGCATCATTGCTGTTCTTTATGATGGCCGGCTAGAGGAAAGGAAAGCATTGAGGGAAGAGTACTCTGGGGAGGGAAAATTTAATGTGATAATAACCCATTATGATCTTATCATGAGAGATAAAGCATTTCTGAAGAAAATTCACTGGTATTACTTGATTATTGATGAAGGACATAGGTTGAAAAATCATGAATGTGCTCTTGCACGGACTGTTGCAGGGTATGTTCAATAAGAAACTTCCTTCTTGTTTAAGAAATCTGAGCTTCATATTTGCTGCATTCAGCTCATGCTGACCCCCCAAGTACTTGTAGCCTAAAGTGAATTGGAATTTGTAATTTCTGCAGCTACCGAATCAAGCGGAGACTTCTATTGACTGGTACCCCAATTCAAAACAGCTTACAGGAATTATGGTCGCTTCTTAATTTTCTCCTACCAAACATATTTAATTCTGTGGAGAACTTTGAGGACTGGTTTAATGCGCCTTTCTCGGATAAATGTGATATCACTCTAACAGATGAAGAAGAGCTATTAATTATTCGACGTTTGCACCATGTAGGTTTTCCTTGGATTATAATTGTTATTACACTCTTCTTCAATGTGCCTTTTTTGTTCCTACTTTATTTTCTTATTCCCAGGTTATTAGGCCATTCATATTACGGAGGAAGAAAAATGAAGTGGAGAAGTTTCTTCCTGGGAAAACACAGGTTATCCTGAAATGTGACATGTCAGCTTGGCAGAAATTATACTATCGCCAAGTTACAGATGAAGGGAGGGTAGGACTGGGTACTGGTAAGTCTTACTGCTTTTAGAATTGTTTGTATGTGCGCGCGCTTATATTCCAACATATGAATAGGTTTTAACACTCTTTAGGTTTTAAATATGCTTGTGGGCTTTGGAAGTTTTGACACAGCAGTATATGCCTGACCATAATTGTGCTTGGAATTTTTCTGGAAAAATTTGGTCAACTGCATAGAACATTAAAAATATATTTCACAAATGATAAATTTTATGGTTATTAACAGCAGGCTTTTCTGCAGACCCTTGCCTAGCGGGGATGCCAATGTGCACCGGGCTGCCTTTTTTATAATAGTAGGGTTTTCTGTGATCGATCAAAACCATAATTACATAACCTCAATTCAACCGACAAACCAAACAACTGATGCCTTATACAAAATGATAACCATTGACAGACTTAAACGGGTTTTTTTTGTCAGTGCGGTCTTCAGTTTTGTCAGTTTACTTGTTTATTTGCTCACCCCTACAGCCCTACATCCTGCTCGGCTGCACCTCTACTAAGTTTTTGGTAAAAAAATATGTACTCTGAACTTCTGAAAACCTTTATGGAAGGTTTTTTTTTAAGATATTGCATACATGCTTTTGGATTTGTGTTATCATCTTGGAGTGAGAACTGAGCTGCTGTACCATGTCAATGACTCAATGCTGATACTGATTTTATAACAAAAATAGAAATATAAAAACCTGAAGGCCTTTATGAAAAAGAATCAGATAGTTTGTTAGAATAAATGCGTACATGACATGCTTTTGGATTTGTTCTATCATATAAATAAGGCTTAGATACGTTTTTAGTCCCTGCAAATATGAAACGATTTGTTTTAGGTCCCTGCAATTTTTTTTGTTTTTGATCCCTGCAATATGCACCCTTCTGTTTTTAGTCCATCTCTAATTCCAAAACCACTCTACTTACAAAAAAAGTTATTGTTAGTTACATAAATCTACTAAAAATATTTAAATTTGTTATTTTATAATTTTTTTGAGGCTAATATGAGAGTTAAAAAATGTAAAACTAAGTATTTACATTTTAAAAACATATATAATAAAGACCGTCTAAAAATTAAATTAAATACTTTTTGAATAACATAACAAAGAATTAGAGAAAATCTATTAATCGAGATTATTTTGAGGTCAAGGGGAGGCTGTTATCAATTATCATCGGTGATGGACTAAAAAAAACCAACATATATTGCAGGGACGAAAATGTAGTATATTTGCCGGGACTAGAAACATATCTAAATCTATAAATAAATGCTTGAGGTGAGAACTAAACTAATATAATATCATGTTAGTTGTTATACTGATTTTGCAGAAATGAAAGAAATATAAAAGGTCAATTGAATTGAACATATGCAGTCCACCTACTTTTTTTTTGCAACAGAAAAGAACTTCACCTACTCAATGTTCAAATTACTCAATGATTTTCATATTCGCTATTAAATGTATCTCCCTCTGCAATGAACTGTCATTTTCAAAGATTTTAGATCCCACAAAAAAATGGAAGCACTTTCCTGTTATGATAAGCTACAAAGTACAAAGTACAACTTGTCTGATATTCAAATATGCAGGAACTGGAAAATCCAAAAGCTTGCAGAACTTGTCTATGCAACTCAGGAAATGTTGCAATCACCCTTACCTCTTTGTGGATCAGTATAATATGTGGCAAAAAGAGGAGCTCGTGAGAGCATCTGGGAAAATGGAGCTTCTTGACCGTTTACTTCCCAAACTCCGTAGAGCTGGACATAGGGTCCTCCTTTTCTCACAGATGACCCGTCTCATGAACATTCTTGAAGTCTATTTGCAACAGAACAAATATAAGTATCTTAGACTTGATGGTACAACAAAAACAGAGGAAAGAGGTTCTTTGGTGAGACAATTCAATGCCCCAGATTCCCCTTACTTCATGTTTCTCCTTAGTACTCGTGCTGGTGGACTTGGCCTGAATCTACAGACAGCAGATACTGTGATAACCTTTGACAGTGATTGGAACCCTCAAATGGACCAACAGGCAGAAGATCGAGCACACCGGATTGGTCAAACGAAAGAAGTCATGGTATTTGTTTTGGTTAGTGTAGGATCGATTGAGGAGGTCATCTTGGAGCGAGCAAAACAGAAGATGGGCATTGATGCTAAGGTCATCCAGGCAGGGCTGTTCAATACAACTTCCACTGGTTTGTTTGTCTTCTATGATTTATAATTACAAGCCCGTTTGGAGACCTCTTTTTTCGGCTTATCAGGCTTATCAGCCAGCTTTTTCACCAAACACGTAACTTTTACTTTCGTGTGCTGAATTGTGTAATAAGCAGAAAAAGTAAGGTTGGAGTTACTTTTCTGGCTGTATTGACTGAAGTTAATGCAGAGGACCATTTTAGCTATTTTTACATGTAATTTTTTCTTTAATTTATTAATAAAATATATTTTAAAAATATTTTTTCCTTGAATCAGCAGAATCAGCCAAAACAGTCACTTCAACCAGAACTTCATAAATTTCAGCAGAATCAGCCAAAACAGCCGATTTTCGTGCTACCAAACGGGCTCTACGACTGATTGAACTGTTCTCCCTAACACAGATGAATATTTGATTTCTTTTTTGAGGTTTCTACCATAATAGTTAAAACAAAACTCATTGACACTGACTTTAGTCACTATGAAAATGCCATGACCACTGCAGTACAAAACTGAACATCACTACCATCAGTCACTGTGGAAATACAAAGTCACTGCTTATTAAAAGTCACTATTTCATCCATTATTTTTTACTTCAGTCACATACTTAGTCTGTCTCACAAAAAAATTGCCAGTTTACTATTCATGTGGTCAACATTATATGTTGTTGTTTTCTAATTTGAGTATCAAATTTATCATATTTATTTTCGTTTTTTTGCGTTTCAGCAAAAAATCTTAAAGTATTAATACTAATTTAAATATTGTTAGATAGAGTTTAACGCTATAATTAGTCAAACTTTGTAAACCGTAAATGGTGAAGTTTTAAGGGACAGGGTTTTTCTTTTTATTGACAATGTCGTTTATACTTACTTGCTTATGCAGCTCAAGACAGGAGAGAACTGTTAGAAGAGATCATGCGTAGAGGTACCAGCACTCTTGGGACTGATGTGCCAACGGAGAGAGAGATCAATAATCTTACAGCACGGTCAACGGAGGAATTTTGGCTCTTTGAGAAGATGGATGAGGAGAGAAGGCAAAAGGAGCGTTACCGGTCTCGTCTCATGGAAGATCATGAGGTTCCAGATTGGGCGTATGTTCAAGCCGATTCCAACCAAGGAAAAGGAAAAGGATTTCTACATGATAGTGCCAATCTAAACGGAAAAAGAAAAAGAAAAGAGGTTGTGTATATTGACACACTGAGTGATCAACAGTGGATGAAGGCTGTGGAGGATGGGGAAGAATTTCTGAAGCATGCTTCCGGAAAGAAGAGGCGGCAGCAGGAGCATCATAATCCCAATGCTGTTGCTGCAGGAGATCCATTGCCTACTAACACGCTGAGGGAGCATGAAGAGCCACAGGCTGATGTGCCCCTGCCTCCTACAAATAAATGGAGCGACCAACAACCGCAACCTACCCCACCTTGTGATACACCTCTTAGTATTAGTTCCAGAGGGGAGGAGGGGGAGAGGGCTCGTGAGGGGAAAAGTGAAACTGCTTCGCTGGCAAATGAGGAGGGGGCAACAAGCGAAGACACCATCGGAACAATGCATCGAGAAAGGTACAAACCAGTTGTAGCTGCTCCTCCACCGTCACAGAGGAATGACTATAACAGTTTGACTGGTAATTTAGACGGACCAACATGGAAGGCGCTCAAGAGGAGGAGATCCAGCTTGGCATAATGAAAAAATTGCTCTAAGTTACAGAATTACTGTTGGAAGAGGACCATATGGTGCAGATCAAGGAAATGATAACCTCCCTGGTTGCTGGCTGCTATTTGGTTATTTTGGGCACAGTAATACAAGATGAGCAAATCTGGTAGTCCAAGAAAACAAGGCAAATCCTGATTGTTATCTCAACAGCCCATGCTACCTTCACTATGTTCTACTTTTGCAAACAATATGTATTTTTGCTTCGGTTCTTTTTTACAAGTCTTGCCTGTTGTTTTGGTTTGTCCCACACTATCACAAGGCCACGATGATGTCCTTTTTTAAATTTACTGAACTTGTTTTCTAATATATACCCTTATATATTATAATTATTCAAAAAGTTTAGTTAATTGACACATATTGTCATTCATGTCACCTATTTCGATATATTTGAGATTAGTGTGGTGATCATGATGGTGAATTGGTGATGGTAATTTTAGCAGTTAACATATCCTGAGATTGACGTCTCGTGGGTATGGTATTTCTGTGTGGTGGGAACGGTGCAAGTATGAGTACATTTTGTGTAACTTCTGGTACATAAGTGTTTGGTATAACTCATGTTATACTTTTATGTTGTGGAGGTATTGGCCCATTAAAGGCTAAGGCAACCCTTTGATCTTGTCCTACCCATTAAAGGCTAAGGCAACCCTGTGAACTTTACTTGGATTATGATGATATGGCTAAGAAAGCTGAAATGAATGAAACTTCTTGCTCTACTATTTACCTTAACTTGTTTGACTTTGTGCTTAGAAAGGTATGTATAATTTAATCTTCCAAGGAGGTAGGGATAAATTATAAAGTCTTTAAAGTGATACTTCTTTGCCTAGTAAACTGTTTTTTAGTGAAAAGTTTTTTCGGTTTATGCTTCACCGCCTTGACCTGACCAAAGACATTGATGAAACCTGAATGTGATTAACAAACCGATTCAGAATATTAAACAAGCTGGTGATAAACAAATTGAAGATTAGACTTCTACTATGTTGCTTAATGTTATTCATGATTCTTATAATGATGTCAAATCTGCTATTAATATTGTAGTGATGATATTAGTCTTGATATTGTTGTGAATGGCTTGAGAAATAAAGAACTGGAACTTAAACATGCTAGGAGTAGTAATAGTCAGTCCAAGGATTCTGGTGAGGCTATATTTGTGAGGGGTAGATCTAAGAGTAGATCTAAACACCATAAAAAGGATTCCCAAACTAAGAATAGTAACCAAAATGGTAAGAAGAGACACAAGTCTAGTAAGCATGTTTGTTACAATTGTGGTAACCATGAACACTTTATTAAGGACTGTCCTAACCCTAAAAAGCTTAACATGCTACTGTAACTGTTGAGAGAAATGATCTGGTGAGGTTTTAATGGTTTGTGAGCATGTTAATTATGTGATAAATTCCTTATCTAATCATTTTGTGTCATAACTTTTTTTTTGTTGCTACCTTGGGGAGTAGTGGATAAGACTATAAGAGGGAAAGTGGGGAAATGGGCACATGAAGATTCTGAAAAATTCTCTTGTATTGTTTAAAGCTGAGAAGATGAATAGCTTTTATCTGCGACATGTTAAACGTTTACTGATTCTGGGAATGTAGTATGTGTTGATAAGACCTAGTTGTGACATAATAGACTAGGGCATATGAGCAATAAGGGTTTAGATATCATGAATGATTCTAGTTATTTTGGTAAGAACTATGTGACCTCTATGTCTTTTTGTGAATCTTGTGTGATTGGTAAACTACATAGGGCAAAGTTTCCATTATCCTTGTACCTTAATTTGTCTAAACATTCTTTTGTGCTTGAGTATGTGCATGTTGATACTTAAGGGCCCACCAGTATGAATCTGACCTTTCTTGCTTATCTAAAATTGTTCCTACTGTTTTCTTCTCTAATTCTGAGGAGACACCTTTTGAGGTGAGTCCGAGTTTCCTACTTTGCCTACTACTCAAGTTGATATGCATGAAAGTGCAATTGTTTTGTCCAATCATATGAATCTTGTTGCATGTTGATCCACTAGGTGAGTCCACCTCTATTGAGATGGAGCTAGGACATGAATTTGAGCATGGTATGCATGATGAGGAACCTATTTATGTTGAAAATGATGTGCTTGATAATTTTGTTGAGAATGTCGAAATTAATTTGCATGACTACCAACTTGCTAGGGATAGAAGTAAGAGAACCATTAAGAGGAAAGCTGATAGCATGTTGACTTTGCTTTCACTGTGTGTGATATATTTGGTTTTGTTGTTAATGTGTTTGAGACCCTATATTTGAATGAACCTAAAACCTACAGTGAAGCCTTGACCTTCAAAGAGTCTAAAAATGGCTTAATGCCATGAAAAGTGAGATGAACTTTTTGAGAGTGAACCAGACTTGGACTCTTATTTTTAGACCTCATGCATGCTCTATTGTTGAGTGAAAATGGTTGTTTAAAGTTACGTAAAAACCTAATAACATTAGGTTAAATGCAAGGTTGTTTGCTAAGGGGTTTACTCAAAAAGAGGGGGCATACTATGTTACAATTATGTTTGTTTTGATTGCTCACTATGACGGGGTGTAAGTTTTAGGAATAAAACTTCCTTGATTGAATAAGCCACACGGCCAGGGTATAAATACACTTTGTACAGATAACAACTAGCTAGTACAGATCCTAAAAAATAGGATCTTGATAACTACAAGCTTATCTACAACTAACTGCATCTATTCTAGTCTATCCGACTAAATATGTACATCAATTTAATCAGAAAAAATAATGTAACATTTTCTACACCCCCCCTCAAGTTGGTGAATATATATCACACATTCCCAACTTGCTCACAAGTAGCTCAAATATAGGTCTAAATAACCCTTTGGTGAAGATATCAGCTATTTGATCTTTAGTGGATACAAATGGTGTGCAAATGATTCCAGCTTCAATCTTCTCCTTAATGAAATGTCTGTCCACTTCAATATGCTTAGTGCCTTAGTTCTATCATGTAGCACAGGGTTATGAGCTATGCTTATAGCAGCTTTATTATCACAATACAACTTCATAGGCAGCTCAATCTCCATCTTCAGTTCTGTGATTACTCTTTTGATCTAGAGTAATTCACATATTCCATTAGCCATAGCTCTGAATTCTGATTCTACACTACTTCTAGCAACCACATTTTGTTTCTTACTTCTCCAGGTTACTAGATTTCCCCATACATAGGTACATTATCCAGAAGTAGATCTCCTATCAAATATTGAGCCAGCATAATCTGCATCAGTGAAAGCTTCAATTGTCCTACTGTCTCCCTTTTTGAAAAACAATTCCTTCCCTGGACAGCTCTTCAGGTATCTCAGAATCCTGTAAGTAGCATCCAGATGTTCTTGGAGAGGATGATGCATAAACTGACTTACCATACTAACTGCAAATGCAATATCTGGCCTTGTGTGTGCCAGATATATTAATTTTCCCACCAATCTTTGATATTGGTAAATATCAACTGGAATTCCCTCCTTGATCTCCCAATTTCTGACTTGGGTCAATTGGAGTGTATGCTGGTTTGCAGGCACTCATTCCAGTTTCCTGTAGAAGATCTAGGATATATTTTCTTTGTAAGACAACAATACCCTTCTTTGATCTAGCTATCTCCATTCCTAGATTTTTTTTAAATTTCCTAGGTCTTTGATCTCGAATTCATGAGCAAGTTTGTCTTTCAACCTTTTAGTCTCTGTGTGATAATTTCCTGTGAGGATAATATCATCTACATTGACAATTAAGATTGCAATCTCCCCCTTACCTGAAAACTTCATGAATAAAGTATGGTCAGCTTGAGCTTGATTAAATCCTTGCTTCTTTATGAACTTTGTGAACCTGTCAAACCAGGCTCATTGAGACTGTTTAAGTCCACCATACAAAGCCTTCTCTAATCTGCAAACTTTTGACCCAAACTTATTTTTAAACCCAGGAGGAGGTTCCATGTACACTTCTTCTTCAAGTTTCCCATTTAAAAAAGCATTCTTCACATCCAGTTGTTGTAATGGCCAGTCTAAATTGGCAGCAAGAGATAAAAGAATTCTTACAGTGTTTAACTTTGCAACTGGTGCAAAGGTTTCTGTGTAGTCAATTCCATAGGTCTGTGTGTAACCCTTGGCAACTAGTCTTGCCTTATACCTCTCCAAACTTTCATCTGCCTTAAACTTGGGAGTGAAAATCCACCTGCAACCAACTGTAGGTTTGTTTTTAGGTAACTCTACAAGCTTCCATGTCTGATTCTTTTCAAGAGCCTCCATCTCCTCCAAAACAGCTTTCTTCCACTCAGGTTTAGATAGAGCATCTTGTACGGTTGAGGGAATAGAAATAGAATAAATATTGGAAGTAAAGGCTGCAAAAACTGGGGTTAATTTAGAATAAGAAACATAGTTTGAGATGGGGTATTTAACACATGTTCTTCTCTCTTTTCTGAGAGCAATTGGAAGGTCAAGATTGCTAGGAGTATTCCCTTTTTCACTTCCTGGTATTGAGTCAGAATCATGTACAGTTGTAGGTTCTTGGACTTCCTCTATTCTTTGATTTCTAACCCTTCTCTCATAAACTTTGTCAAAGAACTGACTTGTCTGTTGATCCTTTTCAATTGTTTCAGTTGTATTTACTTCATTATTTTTCATTTCTTGATCATTTTCAGATGTACTGTTATTTCTAAACGTATGATCATCCAGATTAATATCAAGAAAATTAATGTTTTCATGAATATGTGGCACTATTGGAACATCTTCACTTAATTTCTCCCCCTGAAGATGAGAATAAAAAAAAGGTTGTTCTTCCACAAAGAAGGTATCCATTGTAACAACCATTGTTTTGGTTGTAGGATCAAAACATTTATACCCTTTTTTAGTGGCAGAAACACCTAGAAAAACACATTTTTTTCCTCTAGGATCAAACTTACTGGCAGATCTATCAGGATTTTGTATAAACACTGTGCAACCAAAAAATTTTAAAGGAAGGGTGTTACCAATCTATTTGTAGGAAAGAAGTGTTGTAGTGAGCTGATAGGACTTTTAAATCCTAAAGTTTTGGATGGCATGCGATTAATTAAATACGTAGCATGTAACACAGCCTCTCCCCACAAATATTTTGGTATGTTTGGTGAAAACATGATTGCACGAGTGACTTCAAACAAATGCCTATTTTTCCGTCCGACCGGCGACCGTCCCCCAAGACATCACGCAGGCACGCCGGTGACGCCACACGCAGGACCTCAGTAGTCAGCCCCAACTGCAGTCTGCAGCGGCCGAACTCCACCGAACGCCGCCCCTCCTACTCTCCTAGTCCAATCCTTTTTCGCCTCATATTGGGTTGAATCCGCTCAATAGAGGTCTAATTTCCAACCTTTTATTTTTACATTTTA